TGTCAGCAGGGTATTGAAGTCCCCTACTATGATTGTATTGCTGTCGATTTCTCCTTTGAAGTCCTCCAGAAGATTTTTGATATATGTTGGAGCTCCTATATTGAGTGCATATATATTTACCAAGATTATAGCTTCCTGTTGGATAGACCCTTTCAATATTATGTAGTGACTTTCTTTGTCTCTAGTTATGACCTTCATTTTGAAATCTATTTTATCAAATATGAGTATTGCTACCCTAGCTTTTTTTCCCTTTCAATTTGCTTGGAAGATTTTTTTCCATCCCTTCACTTTCAACCTATATGAGTCTTTTGTTGTGAGATGGGTCCCTTGTAAACAACATATACATGAGTCATGCTTTCTTATCCAATCAGCTACTCTGTCTTTTTATCAGAGCATTCAATCCATTTACATTTAAGGTGATTATTGATATGTACTTATTTATTGCCATTTTTGTTTAGTGTGGTTATATTTTCCTTCCTATTTCTTCTACTAATTACAGTAGTCCTTTTAACATTTCTTGCAGTGCTGCTTTGGTGCTAATGTATTTCCTTAGCCTTTTTTTGTTTGGGAAGCTCTTTATTTGACCTTCTATTTTGAATGATAGCCTTGCTGGATAGAGTAGTCTTGGATTCAGATCCTTGTTTTTCATGACCTTGATTACTTCATGCCATTCCCTTCTGGCCTGTAGTGTTTCTGTTGGGAAGTCAGCTAAGAGCCTTATGTGGGTTCCTTTGTAGGTAACCTGTTGCTTATTTCTTGCTGCCTTTAGGATTCTCTCTTTGTCTTTAATTTTTGGCATTTTAATTACTATATATCGTAGTGTGGGCCTGTTTGGGTTCCTCTTACTTGAGGCTCTCTGTGCTTCTTGAACTTGAATGCCTTCTTCCTTCACCACATTAGGAAAGTTTTCTGTCAGGATTTCTTCAAATATATTCTCTAACCCTTGCTCATTTTCTTCTTCTTCGGGGGCTCCTATGATGTGAATATTATTACGTTACCAGTTGTCCCACAGTTCTCTTAAGCTGTCTTCCTGTTTTTTTCCTTTTGGTTTTCTGATTGGTTGATTTTTTCTATCCTGTCTTCTAATTCACTGATCCAGTCCTCAGCTTCCTCTACTCTGCTGTGTAGACCTTCCAATGTGTTCTTTATTTCTGAAATGTCATTCTTGATTTCTTCTTGGTGGTTTTTCATTTCCAATTGGTTGATTTTCAATGCTGCTATGTCTTTACTCATGGTGCTGACGTCCTTACTTATGCTGTTGAGCTTCCTCAAGATCATGGCTCTGAATTCTAACTCTGATAATTTGCTTAACTGCATTTCATTTATCTCATCTTTGGTAGAGATCTCTTGTTCTTTCATTTGGAATTTGTTTCTTTGTTTCACCATTTTGGCTATCTCAGTGGGTTTTGGAGCCTGCCAAATTTTCCCTGTGGGTGTTAGTGTTCTGCTGTTTGTGGCTCCCTCTACTGGGTTTGGATGAGTATGGGAGGACCCACGTTAAACACCACTGTCAAGTCTTACTTTCCTGGGTAGATTTGCAAGCCCAGGAATGGTTCAGTTATCCTCTAGCTTTTTGCCTGGAGGCTATTAATTGCAGTTACTTGAGGTTACTTAAAGAGCCTTGGGTTCTCAGTTGAATGAAAAACTCCCTCAGGTGTTCAGCTTAAGAGGATTTCCTGAAGGTGGGGCAGATGTTGGTTGTTAATTAGACTCAATTTGCATTTCAATGGCCCACCTGGGTGGGGCTGACTCACCAAGGGAGGGGCCACCGCTTCTCCCCAGAGCCCTGGGAAGAGTAAGATGGCTACCATGCTGCATGGCTGCAACTCAGCAAAAGCTCTGAGCACCACCCTGGGCAGTTTTGCTCAGCGGTTAGAGCATCAGCCTGTGGACCAGAGAGTCCTGGGTTCAGTTCCCACTAAGGGCATGTACCTCGGTTGCAATTTGTCCCCAGCCCCACTTGGAGTCATGTGGGTGGCAGCCAGTCGATGTGTCTCTCTCACATCAATATTTCTCTCTCTCTCTCTCTCTCTCTCTCTCTCTCTCTCTCTCTCTCTCTCTCTCTCTCTCCCTCCCTCCCTCCCTCCCCTTCTCCCTCCTGCTCTATCTGAAGAAAAATGCAAAAATGCTCTTGGGTGAGGATAAAAAAAAAAATCTCTGCGCACCCTCCAAATCCTGAGTGTCCCCACACAGTTCCAGTCCAGTCTTCCCTCCTTCTGCCAGAGCCCAAGGTGAGTGGCTATGGCTATTTTAGTGCTCTGTTCCGGCTCTGTGGAGTGGGCTTGGGATTTTAACCCCGCTACTCACAGCTAAGGCCTCTGCTGTCCATGGGCTCCCAGCCCCCCTCTTGCACCTCCGTAATCCTACCAGGATCGATTTAGTGTACCTGGTTATATGGTCCTCAGAAGCTTCTTTTCTGTTGCTTTTTCCCAACGATTTGTCTGTATTTTAGTTGTAATTCCAGTTTGGTCCTAGGAGATGGTCTGTGTAGCTTCCATTCACTCTGCTGCCATTTTAGAATCCCCAGGGTCCTTGTTTTATAGCGAGCCTTTGGAACTGGTGTGGAGGGTATACCAGAGCACACCTCCGCCCAGACTGGCTGCATTTCCGGAGCTCCATGGGCACCTGTGGCGAGGGGCTGGCACGTCAGCAGTTCTGGGACGAGCAGGGCAGAAGGGAGTTCAGGTCAGAGGGTGGGAAGGAAGCCAACCCTGCAGCCATTGTTAGTTAGCTGTTGGATCACCGGTGCAGTGGGAAACCATCGGAGGGGACTAACCAGAGGGCTGTCCTAACCTGACTTCTATTTCAAATGATCATGTTGTCTGTGTATGGATCACAGACTGGGGGCGCTGTGCCCCAAATGTCCTCATGGAGCTGCACTGAGATGAATCTTTGAATAAGAAAAAGAATAATGGTTGTAATAGTAATAATACAACAGTAATGAGTAGCCACTTTTACATCACCCTGTTGGGTCAGTGCACCCATTTCACAGATAAGGAAACTGAGTCTCTGAGAGTCATTGGCCCCACATATCACAGCTAGTATCAGAGCAAGGTCTGGACAAGTCCCTCCTCCCGCCCCGAAATCGCTGGCAGAGGGGTGCCAGGAGAGGCTCTGGGCTGCCTCATTGCTCTGTGTTACATCTTCATCCGGGAGCCATATTCTTTGAAAGGCTCTGTGTGCTGAGATGGCATTTGCCTCCGTGATGCAGGGTCTCTGAATTCCTTCCTTCCTTCCTTCCATCCCCACGTTCACCCTTTGAGCCCCTAGACAACCATAGCCTCCTCCCTGAAGCCCAGCAGCCCCGAAACCTCTCCCACACCCTCCAGTCCTTCCCCGAGCAGCCTGGGTCTCCGCAGGATGCAAACCGATCACAGCAACCACTGCTTAAAAGCCCTCTGGTTTTCTTCCATAGCAAGCACCATCCCAGCCTGCTCTGCCCTCCTCAGCGGCAGGCTGCCTCTGCTCCGGACCTTGACCCGATCCTTTCCCCCTCCGGGTCTGCCCTCCACCCCCCACCTGACCAGATCTTCCCCACAATGTCACAGCTGCATCTGCTCCTCGAAGCCCCTCAAAGCCAGCACCTCCCAAGTGCCCTCCCTGACCCCTGCTGACACAGATGCTCGTCCTGGGCACCCTCCCTGACCCCTGCTGACACAGATGCCCGTCCTGGGCACCCTCCCTGACCCCTGTTGACACAGATGCCCATCCTGGGCACCTCCCTGACCCCTACTGACACAGACGCCCGTCCTGGGCACCTCCCTGACCCCTGCTGACACAGATGCCCGTCCTGGTCACCTCCCTGACCCCTGCTGACACAGATGCCCGTCCTGGACGCTGCCTATCATATGTTGCAATTATTTATTTGTTCACTCACTTCCTTTTCCACAAGCAAGTCGTCTCCCCTTCCCCATCAGACGAGGGAGTCCCATGAGGGCAGGACACTTACTCTCGGCCTCCACTGTGGGCGCTGCCCTGGCACAGTCAGTATCACTGAGAGTCCCGGGAATGAGGGACTCCAGCCCTGTGGCTTCCAGACTGAGATTGGTAAAGGTCCCTCTGGGCTCCCTTCCCACCACCTGCCCTGTCTTGTCTGTGGATGCCAACATGTAGGTCTCGTTGGCAGAGTGGGAACTCTAGTTGAGCATGGGGGGTGCAAATAGGACCCCAGCAGTCAGACGGAGCCCTGGGCGCATCCTGAGTCTCAGTGAGGGGGCTGTGGGGGAGGGGAGGGTGCAGACCTCAGCAATTCCAAGCCCAGCTTGAGGGCATCTAGAAGTGTGTGCAAGCAGTTCAGGTCGTTGGGTTGCCACTGTGACTGAGGGTACCCCTGGCACCGGAGGCAAGGGGCGGTGAACATCCAATTCTGCACATACAACAGGCTCTCAGAACAAAGAACTGTGCCCCCAACGACAGTGATGTTCCCACAGCACTCCACAGCCGGGGTGTCAGGGGGCTGCCACACGCCAGGCAGGGAGGTCGGAGGCCAGGGGCTCTGTCCCCTCCAAGCTAGGACTGGCTGGGAGAGCTGAGACCTGGAGGCCAGAGGCCCCAGCCCGAGTTCTGGCTCCGCTCCTCCGGAGCTGGGTAGCCTTGGGTAGGTGCAGTCACCCCTCTGGGCTTCAGGGTCCTCCCCCAGGAGTATGGCAGCCAATGCCTGCCTGGCTCAGTTACTCCAGAGATGAAATGAGAAGCGTCCCTAAGACGGTGTGTTCGGCAAACGTCCGCTGCCTCAGACTTCGAATCGACACGTGTCCGAGCCGCCGTGGACTCGGAGGGCTCTGGGCGAGCCCGGAGGGGATGAGTCTCTGGTCCAGAGGAGGCAGGTCGGAGAGGGCTGCAGACCCTTAGGAGTCCGGGCGGCGCCTCTGGCACCCACTCCCGGGCCATCACTCACGGGCAGAGTGGCTGCCCCAGGAGGGCCCCCGCTGTATGAGGGGGTGCTGGCGGCATGGCCTCCCCTCGGGGTGATTAATCCCAGGCCCTGGCTCTGACCGCAGGCGGCATCCCCTTCGTCCTGACCGGCGAGTTCTTCCAGCAGTCCGAGCGGCCGGCGGCCTTCACCGTGGCGGGCACCGTCAACTGGCTGGCCAACTTCGCCGTGGGACTCCTCTTCCCGTTCATCCAGGTAGGGTCCCGGTCGGCAGCCTGAGCGAGGGCTGGTTCGCAGAGCAGGGGCTGCCCCTCTCTCCACGGGAGCTCGAGCTTTGGCCTAAGAAAGGGAGAAGTGTGCCTGGCCCAACCCCTCAACCCCCTCCCTCCCCCCTCAACCCCCTCCCTCCCCCCTCATCCCTCTCCCTCCCTCATCCCTCCCCCCTCAACCCTCTCCCTCCCCCCTCGACCCTCTCCCTCCCCCCTCAACCCTCTCCCTCCCTCCCGCACCTTCTGGGAGCCGCCCCTAAATGCCGAGGGCTGCGTCGGAGGGAGCAAGCCTCCCGTCACTGAGGGCATGCAAAGCAACCAGGGCAGAGTCTCAATCCTGAAGCCTCCTCTTCGCTTTTGCTACGTGTCCGTCCCCGTGTTAGACAAATGTCCTGCACAGTCGCACACCGCATAGCAACGTATCGCGAGGAGGGTCGCTTCCGTGCCAGCTGGCTCACGTCCAGCAGGGCGCCGCCCGGCTGGAGCCCCGGGAGCCACGCAGGAACATGGGCAGGGGCCTGGGGCTGGGAGAACAGGGGGAATCGCAGCCGCAGAGCCCGTCTGCCGGAACCGCTGGTGGACGTGGGGGGAAGCAGGCTGACGACGGGGAACTGAGGGTGGGGCTGGTCTCCGTGTGGGACAGGAAACCCCGGGCACGCATGGGTCTTGCGGCACCTGCCAGGAGGGCATCAAGCCTTCCCGTGGAACCGCTGGAAACGGGTCTTGGGGCCTGTGCTCTGCTGTACAGGCCAAGCGATGGGTCTGAGCGTGAACTGCTGTCCGTCTCCAGAACAAGGAGGAAATATGTTTCTATTGTAAACCTGTGATTTTCCAATTTCTTTATTGATTTTAGAGAGAGAGGAAGGAGGAGAGAGAGGAAGGGGGAGAGAGAGAGTGAGCCACACCGGCCGGGTATGACCTCATTTTAATCTGATGGCACCTGCAGACTATCTCCAAACAGTGCCACATGCACAGGAACCAGCGGTTAGGGCTGCAACTTCCTTTGGGGGAAGATCACAATTCAACTCACACCTTCCTTGTCTGGAGTGACCAAGTCGTCCCACTTTGCCCAGGGCTGTCTCTAGGGGACCCACCTCCCAGAAAAGCCCTTGGTCCTGGGCAACCCAGGACAGCTGGTCACCCAGTCCCTCCCTCACCAGTGCTCCCTGGACTACTTCCAAAGAAGCTACGTGCCCGGTATGCTCTGCGCCTGGGGCCCAGCAGCACCTCTGACGCTGGCCCTGTCTCCAGTGCAGAGTCACTTGGTAAATAGCTGCTGTGCTTGTCTGTTGCTCTGATTGTCCTCCTTTGCCAGGTACCGTGTGAGACACAAAGGACACACGGGAGACACTGCACAGACTCCGGGGTCGACAGCCTGACCTTGAACCCTGGCTGTGTTGCTCAGCGGGTCAGGCTGCGTCTGAAGCTGGTGGCCCTTGGAGTGTGACTTCCGTGTCTAGAAAATGAGAGAAGTGCCCGCATCTTGCAGCAGGGGCTCTCAAACCAAATAGAAACGAGTCCGGGCTTGAGCCCAGCGTCCGCCCGCAGACGCTACCTTGATCATTATTCATCCCATGAAGGTCGCGTCCTGCCACACAGTCCTAAGGGTCAGCTGGGACGAGGGGCTAGGCCCTAAAGAGTCCACGTAAATGCCGGGAGCTGACCCTGTCCCTGTCCAGCTGAGTGATCCAAGATTAGTCGCCTCTCAAAGCCTGACTTCTCCCCTCCCGCCCCCCATCGTGCCCCCCTCCTGCTAGGTGATCCAAGTGGGCTGGTGGGCTGCCTTGAGCCCGGGGGAGATTATGTCACTCTGTCTCTCTGCCCTGAGCCATAGGCTCCCTGTCCTCTGGCCTTTACCGTGGCCAGGGTCAGTGCGTCCCTTGGGTTGTGCATTGTAAAACCTAGAGACCGCTCGGCCTCTGACAGCCACACCCTTATTTTCAGGTGCAGAGAAAATCACAGGCAACTGTTTGCCCAGAGTTAGAAAACTCCCTCTGGGCTCAGTAAAATCTGGAAGGGAGAAATGACTTCTCAACTTGAAAAATATCCGGTCCTATCCCAAAGGCCTGTCAAAGGGGGGGGGGGGGGGGCAGCTGAGGCAGCTCCAGGGCGCTGGGGTCCAGGAACAAACACACATCCCCTGGCCTCTCTGGACGGCAGGCGGTACTCCTTGGGCTGGAGAGAGGGAGAGAACGTCACTCGCTGGTGTCTCATGCCGGACCGGGAGCCAGGCAGCTCACAGCACGGGCTCAGTCCTGCCCTAACATCTCAGGAGAGAACGGACATAACCCTCACGGGACAAGAGTCTGTGTTTCACCGGAGGCGGTCGAGTGGGTTCCCGACGGCCTGAGCAGTCAGGTGTGTGTGTGTGTGGGGGGGGTGTACCTGGCCCGCAGGAGCCCTGAGCAAGCACAGAGCATCCAAGGGTCTGAGATGTTCACGTAGTTCTGAGGGAGGACAGGGAGGCCCAGGCCAAGTCCCCTAAGACATCAAGGCCAGAGAGGGGTTGGGGTTTCCCACGGACTCCGGGAAGCCACTGCGTGATTCTAAGACATGCTTCATTCCGTGCTTTTTAAAGAAGTCTGGCTGCCCAGGGGAACTGGATTCGGGACAGGGGCAGGCAGAATGGACGCTGAGCCATAGAAACCAGAACAGGGGGTAACTGAGGGCGTGTGGGGGTGGGGTGGGGGTGGGGAGGAAATGGCTCAAGGAACTTTCTGGAGTGTGGCAGTGCACCGCACCTCGACTTAGTGGCACCGGAGTGTGCTTTCCTCCAAACTCGAACTGAACGCGGAAGTTGCTGTATGTAAATTCTGTCTCGATTAACAACATACCCGTTGTAAGAAAGAAAAAGGATGCTTCAGGGCCAAGTCCTCAGGACAGTAGCAAAACAGGCAGAGAGGGAGGGAGTCGTGAAAGGTGGTGTCAGGTGTCCCCCTCAGCGATGGGGGACGCCGTGCCACTTCTGAGAGCAGGGACCGGGGAGGCAGCGAAGGGGAGAAGTCTGCAGGGCTGTCATGTGGCCTCCAGCAGGGCGTGTCGAGCTGAAATGCCACCATCGGACAGTCACAGGACTGAGTCTACCGTAAAGGCTCCTGGGCGGCTCCACAAGATCTTCAGTGTACATGTGACAGTGACTTGAGGGCCACAGAGATGTAAGTTGTCACCAAGCTCCCTGCTTCCCCCAGAAACGCCCTGATGGTCCAGGTCCTCTCTGCTCATCAAGTGGAGCAGCCTTGCCTGTTAAAGCTCCTTTTGGAATCGGAGTGGCAGGATACGGCTCCCGACTTCCCATCAGTGCTCGTCTGGTGGTCTAGGCCCTGATTCGTCCAAGAGCAACTTCCCATCAGTGCTCGCCTGGTGGTCTAGGCCCTGATTCGTCCGAGAGCGACTTCCCATCAGTGCTCGCCTGGTGGTCTAGGCCCTGATTCGTCCGACAGCGACTTCCCATCAGTGCTCGCCTGGTGGTCTAGGCCCTGATTCGTCCGAGAGCGACTTCCCATCAGTGCTCGCCTGGTGGTCTAGGCCCTGATTCGTCCGACAGCGACTTCCCATCAGTGTTTGCCTGGTGGTCTAGGCCCTGATTCGTCCGAGACCTTGGGCTGTCACCAGGGGCCAGCTCTGGTGGTGGGAGTGGAAACTAACCAGAAGAACTGGGATTCATCACACGGTGGAAATCTAGCTTGGACCACCTTTCCTATGCTCATGCATCTCCATCAAATCCTCTGATTTCATCCATTGATCCATCCACTCAACATACTTTTATGAAGAAAGTGCCATGATGAGCCAGGGACTATCTAGGCCTTTTGTGTTTGTATAAAGACAGTCGTCCTGAAGGTACTCTGTGCCTGTTCTTGCCCAGTCGGGGTTGAGTGCTATTCATGTTGATATGTGCAGCTACAGGTCACTGCTTTTCACTGCTCTGTAGTATTCCTTTGTGTGAGCCTATTCCAACTTATTCGTCCCGTCCCCTTTCCATGAGCACCCGAGTCTTCGCATTTTCTGCTCTATGAGGGTGCGGCCGTGAATATCCTGGTACAGCACCCAGGGATCTCTGACATATGGGGATGCTGGCTCTCTGCTATGCCCCTCGGAAAACCCTGGCCATGTGAGACTCTTGAGCACCTGGCCTGCGGCTGGTGCCACTGAGGAACTGAGCCTTTAATCAATTTAAATTAAAATAGCACGGCCCTAGAGTGTGGACACTCAGGAGTGGAATCACCAGGTCACAGGTGCACAGTGCACCCCCAGCTGGGTGATGCCAACTTGTTCTCCCGAGTGCGTGAGCTGTTTGCAACCTGCCGATGTGTGAAGACTGTACCGCCTGTCGTGGTCCCATCCTTGTCGGCCTGTTTGCTCTTGCAGGGGTCTGCCGGGTGTGCGGGCTGTAACGCTCAATTCTGCTGTCTGCCGGGTGTGCAGGGTGTGAGTCTCCATCCCACTGTCCTCCGGGTGTGCGAGGTGTGAGGCTCCATCCTGCTGTCCTCCGGGTGTGCGGGGTGTGAGTCTCCATCCCGCTGTCCTCCGGGTGTGCGAGGTGTGAGGCTCCATCCTGCTGTCCTCCGGGTGTGCGGGGTGTGAGTCTCCATCCCGCTGTCCTCTGGGTGTGCGAGGTGTGAGGCTCCATCCTGCTGTCCTCCGGGTGTGCGGGGTGTGAGTCTCCATCCCGCTGTCCTCTGGGTGTGCAGGGTGTGAGTCTCCATCCCACTATCCTCCGGGTGTGCGAGGTGTGAGGCTCCATCCTGCTGTCCTCCGGCTGTGCGGGGTGTGAGTCTCCATCCCGCTGTCCTCCGGGTGTGCAGGGTGTGAGTCTCCATCCCACTGTCCTCCGGCTGTGCGGGGTGTGAGTCTCCATCCCGCTGTCCTCCGGCTGTGCGGGGTGTGAGTCTCCATCCCGCTGTCCTCCGGGTGTGCAGGGTGTGAGGCTCCATCCTGCTGTCCTCCGGGTGTGCGGGGTGTGAGTCTCCATCCCGCTGTCCTCCGGGT